TACTGCGAGCAGTTGTGCGTGTGCAGTAGGCGAATCAAGCAAAATCGGTGCGCATTTAGACGAAGCTTGCACAGTCGGTGCCCACGGCTTTTCTTTTGGCTCTGGTTTTTTGGGCAGAACCGATTCGCGCTGCGGTGATGACGACTGCTCGGGCCTTGGCTGCGACAACAACTGAAACTCCTGGACTGGCAATTCTTCTGCATTCGATTGTGAGTTCCGCAACAACAAGCGGGGCACTTTCATCAGCAACTTTTTCACCTAAAATGCACAGCATCTGCTTGGTTTCTGTGCCTAAGCGTCGAAATCTTGCTTTAAAATCAGGCAATGGAAGTAGCTGAAGTGCGCGGAAAAGTGGAGGCGCACTTGTTCAAAGAGAAACGTAGTTCGAAAATCCCCATAAAAGTGCTCCGTTTAATTATTGATATGTAAATTTTATTACTCATAGCGTTTGTCGTTTCATGCTTGTGCGGCCTTACGCCTGCACCACGTTTGGCAATTTTTGCGTAACTGCTATGAATATTCTGCATCACTTAATAGTTAGCCTTTGATAGCACTAGTGCTTGTTTCCTAGTTTTCCTCAACCCCCACTCTCTCCTCAGAGCCTTCTCCAGCTTACGATAGCGTAGCATTTTTGTTGCCCTACAGAAACCGTACTTAAATGCACTGAGGCAGAAGTGAAAAGAGGGGATTCCCAGATGGGGCCAGGATTTCTAAAATTATCAGAAACTGTGCTGAACAGAACTGCCAAAAAAATTTTTACAAGGAAAAGGCAGCCTGGGCAGTTTTTGACAAGCTGTTGGAGTGCATACATTTGGCTTCGTAATCTAAAAGTAGAGGTATCGGCGTAAAAGATCCACAGTTGAAAAAAAAAGTGAAATTCTGGTAGCTCGGTCTGGAAAAAAGAATGACGAATCCTCGACTTGACTGCGCTAAGCGGAAGAAACATCGGAAGCTGACCGTGGTGTGCGTCAGTTACTTCCACCTCTCTATTCTGCTGCAGCAACTATGGATGGCGATGGATGGCTGCTGATTTCGATCAATTCTTTTTGTGATATTTAATTTTTGAAGCAAAATTCAATGGCAACGACCGGCAAAGCGAGGTAAAAAAGTTGCGTGGAACATGTAGCATGCTGCACACTCATCACGTAAGCTGCTACTGAAACAGTAGTAGCAAGGGCAAAACAGTGCCTGTCGCGCAACAACCGCTACCACTATTAGTGATAGAACGGCCATCACCAATGCCAGTGTGCATTAGCACTTTCCAAGACCACCATTTTAGCTGCCAGCACCAGTTGTGAAACAGTTATTGTCAGGATTGTCAGCAAGCTGCTTAACAGACCTTCATATTAGCACAACTCCTAGACGCGACGAAGTCACACAGACAATGGCACAAATATTTTGATTGCTCTTTAAATAGAATAAAATTTATGAAAACAAATCTGCATATTGTAAAGGGCCAAATTTAGGTGAAAGTGCAAAATCACTGGCGACAAGCACCGGGCGGGTCCGCGCTATCATGAGTATTTGCAGTATTTCGTACTGTTGTAAGACCGCTTGGAGTCCCAGTAGCTAGGATTCACGTCATGCTGATCCTCGAAGTTCAGGAACCACACGTTGCTTGCTTAGAGGACATCCCCTCAAAATTTCAGCTTTCTGTCTTTTTTGGTCCTTGAGTTAGCAATTTTCTTGCCAAAAACTTTCACAGGGTTGTATGTGAGAAACACACATACTTTGGTGCTGAATTTTAAAACTTTAAGTTGTACATGGGCTGGGAACATCCCATTAAAATTTTCTAGTGTCCGAGTTAGCACCCTTCCCGCCCAAAATTTTACGAGCTTGTACGCATGGCCTTGATGTGTATCGGGGTGGTACTGCGGTCCTGGGATGGCTCTTGGCCGGGAACGCACCGGCAAAATTTAGGCGCTGAGCTTGCTTTGTTGTCGAGCTGAAATGCCTGGCAGCATGTGTGTAAGTGTATTTGCACATCTGTCCGCGTGTTTCAAATCGGCAACCAAGCAAGCTCCGGCGCCAAAATTTTGCTAGTGAGTTCCCCGGCCAAATGCCACCTCACGTGCCTCTGGCCCAGCGTATGAACACGTAAATGTTTTGGCAGGAAAATCGCTAACTCGGGGACCAGAAAAGCTAAAAAGCTAAAATTCTGATATATTCCCCGTCCACATAGAATTCAAAGATTTCATATTTAGCCCCCAGGTGTGAGTGGTTCCTTAGTATGCCCGTGAAATTTTTTGCCGGGAAATTCGCTAACTCGAGAACCAGAAAGGCTGGGAAGCTGAAATTTTGAAGGAATCTTTCCAGCCCATTTACAACATAAAAAGTCCAAATTGGGGCGACAGAAGTGCGTGGTCTCATGGACGGCTCCATGAAATTGTCTAGCGGGAAAATCGTTAAATCGGAATTACAAAAGCTAGAAAGCTGTTACTTTAAGGAAATGTCCCCTGACTAAATACCATGTAGTTGCACAATCAATCAGTATCGCACAAATTCTAGCTACTTGGACCCGAAGAGATTTTACTGCCGCGCGAAATACTGTAAAAATGCATGATCGCAAGGACCCGCCTGGTGCGTGTCGCCAGTGATTTAGCTTTCTTCCGCTTTTGCATCTTTGATGAGTGCAAAAAGGCCTGAACGGTAATCGGTGTGTTGTGTTTCAGTTTTGTCATTCACTTTCAATTCAGCTCTGGGAAATGAAATTATGCAAGTACCGAGCCGCATACGGCTCCATGAATGTAAAATCAAATCTCGTATACGTCCAGGTCTCACATGTGGATATGAAAAACTTAAGGTAGCAAAATCATTGCTTTTTTTAACTCGAGAAGCAGACCGAATAAAAAAATATATTTTATACATTTGAAGCCCATGTCCGGTAAAGCAAACGCAAAATAAGCTCATGCACATGCCTATATCTTTCGAGTGGCCAAGATGAAATTTCATTTGCAAAATTGTCAGCATCCTCCTCTCACGGTAAACTAGATATGCTGAAAAGCTGAAATTTCGCCAGGCTCCACAATGCAGCATTGCTCAGCCGAACGTCCTCTCTTCCGAAAATGGAAGAAACGAGCAACAAGGCATATATTTACAACATAAGTGCACGTATCAAACTGAAACAATGATTGCTTTACTTGTTTACGATTTTATTATTGCAAAATACGTCGCAAAAAATCATGATTGCAGCAGCGTTCCTGGTGTGCACAGTTCAGTACTTTTTTTGTGTAATTCGAACAGACTGATGAAACTGATTGATTTGCTATTTATGCGTTTTTTGCACCTATGCAATGCAAAAACGCATATTGTCAAAGGGTTGTGTGTGTGTGTGTGTGTGTGTGTGTGTGTTTGCGTGTGCATCTGTAAAAAGTTTTCATCTCGAGATTCACAAAAGCTATAAGGCTGAAAATATGGTAACTTAATCTATACATATATGCGAGCCTCTTTCAAAATGGGCGCTCATGCCTGAGTGGCTCTCACGTACGAGTAATTGACGAGAGAGGATGCCAGTCAAGTCAGGAGGCTGAAACTTCACAGAGGTGTTCTTTGACCACGCTTAATAAAAGATTTCAAATTCTGCCTTCACGCACCTTTAGGTCTCACTTGTGCACACGTCAAAGTTTAGACTGGCATCGTGTCAGCTCCAGATTTAGGTTGACCGAGAAGTTGTAGGGGCCTGCAATTTTGCAGCATTACCTGTCGCTTACTGTCATGTCCATGATAATAAATTAAGCTTTCCTGCCCCTTTGAGTCTCACGTAGGGACACGTGAAAATCTCACGCAGGCATTTTTGCAACTTCAGAATTGAAGCAGCTAAAGGGCTAGAACTTTCTGAACATAACCGACGGTGGCCTTTGACCAGGTGGATGTTTAGACGGCTTTCACATGCCCTTAATGTTTCACGTATTTTTGACGTAACTTCACAACCAAAACAGCTAGAGCGCTGAAACTTTCTGAGCGTTACCCAGAGCCGTATTTGAGCAAGCCCACGACAGTCGGTGCGATGTCGACAAATTTCTTTTATTCACCTATTGTTGCGAAAAGTTTTCGGAGCTAATTTCACTGAACATTACTTGCTATATTTACCAAAAACGGCTAAAAGAGTGCGTCTGAATCAACTTTATTGATATAATCAGCATTCTTTGAGAGAGTTTTTTTCAACTGTTCTGGTATTCAATCAGTTTTTGCATGTCAGAGTGCTGAAACAAAAATGGTAGATTCCGTTTCATAAGGCATTTTACCATGATGCACTACAAATTCAATAAGTGGTACCAAAAAAACAAAGGAAATAATTTTTATGAAAAAATGTAAATCTTCCAACTGCACAACTGTGAAATGCAAAAGAGTGAACTAAAAGTCGAATATACAGACAGACAGGCAGGGAACAGGACAGACGCAGCCTTGAACTTAGCAAGGAGTAGACCGGATGTCGGTCGATACGAGAATGCTCGTTCGTTGACCAGAGTATGGAATTAACTTTTTTCATCTACACACATTTGCGCACTGCATTTGACACGCAGGCTGGCAGATATCAATGGTGAGTTTGAGCTGTAGACACTGCTGCACGCAAATAACCACGCAATTTGGAGTGCAGCCTTGTGGCGCTGGCACAGTTATCGTCGGTATTAACGTACTGCTTGCCTAAAAAAACTTCTTAGATCACTGTAAAACTGCTCAGAAAAGTAAAGCACGCAACTCGGGCACGTAAGAACCCATAAATGGTTTTGACAAAGAATACAACGTACGCACAGAGGACATGATTTTTTTCTGCAAAAAATACCAGGACCTCCGGGATAGCAGTATTCTATATTAGTGATGTTATGAGAATGTTTATATACCAACTATAAATTTATGACCGCGCACTTAGAAATTTGTATTTTCGGAGTAATTCAAATCCAGGAACACAAAAACTCAGATGATATTCCGGGAATACAGTTCTGACTTTATACGGAGCCAGAAAAGCCGAAATTTGTTCGCGTTTCTCGCTACCTTGATTAAAAAATTAAATCAGAACCCGAATCAATTCTACAACTGGTGAGTCAAGAAAAATTCAGGCCGAAAATTTTGACAACTCATGGCGATGTGCCTGAAGTTAGCCTCAGATTTCACTGAATCACGATTTCATTTCCAAATTTAGAACGATAGACATAAATGAGAATCTAATTCGCAAAATGATTAGGACTAGCGGCTTAGAATTTATATTATGACATATTTTGTCCAAATTCGACTAAAAACAAAATTGAGGATGATTATATTCTAGGGTCTACAATTTTTTAAGCTACGAAAGAACACCCAGAAACGATCTGGAGATGTAATGTTAGAACGCAGCAAGTCATACTTCGAAATTCTGGCGCATTTTTTGAGCTAAATTAGTAAGAAAATCTTTACGAATTACTCTTGAATGTAGATGTTCAGTACCATATCCACCATTAGCTTGTTTGTAAAAGAGCCCTCGAAAAAAGGAGCCATCGACAACCTTGCAAACAAGTAGCTGCTGTTGGCATATGCTACCCTTGGCATACTTTCGAGTGCGTTCGCCTCTTATAGAAAGCGAATACAACGGACGAAGGAGGGACGGATTGACTTTTGACATTTACTAAGTGGGCGCCTATAATAGCAAACAGTAAAACGCATAATTGCGTCACAGCTTGATTCGTGTCGCTATACTGTCTTTTTAATGCGTTTTTGCATGTATGCAAATGCAACCCAGTCTGGAACGCACCGGGCGGATCCGTGCGATCATGAGTTTTAACACCGGACTTGAAGTACTCAGATCATTAACTGCATGAATGGTCGTTACCTTACACTTACCTTTTGTGGTCATTAACATAAATCACCAAAAATTTTGCATAAAGTAAATGTACAATTTCCTTTCAACGATTGTTCTTTAAAAGTGACCTAGTTGTACAGTGAGAAATTTTTCCGCCAAAACTTTTAAGTCCCCTTACGTAGGAACCACGCATACCTCAAGGCTGGATTTGAAATACTTAAGTTGCACCTGGACAAGGAACATTCCCCTAAGATTTCAGCTTTCTAACTGGTTCCCGAGTTAGTAATTTCCCCGCACAAACTTTTATACGCCCTTACGTGAGTACCACACACAGCTGGGGGCTGGATGTGAAATATTTAAGTTATACTTGGACAGGGGACATTCCCCTGAAATTTCAGCTTTCCCCATTTCCCGAGTTAGCAGTTTTCCCTCCAAAAATTTCATGCGCCTTTACGTGAGTACCGCGCATAACTTGGGGCTGAATTTGAAATCTTTAACTCACGCATGCATAGGGAATATCCCTACAAAGTTTGAGCCCTTACCTTGTCTGGTTTCCGAGATTGCTTCCCCGCCAAAAAATTTGAATATTTTTTTAAAGAGTCCGTACGCGGCACTTAGGCGTCCGTGGGGGGAAGATATTAAAAAGAGAGAATCGCGCATGGTATGGGCACATATTCCCAAAGTTTCACTCTTCTAGTTTTCCCGATTCTCGAGTTGAAAGTGGGTGACAAAAAGTGCGGGCACACAGACACACAGACACATACACACAGCCTCCTCCCAATATGCGTTTTTGCAATTTGCATATATGCAAAAACGCATAAAAAACCCAGGCTGGAATGCACCGGGCGGGCCCGTGCGATCATATGTTTTTGCATCGGACTTGAAGTACTCAGACTTGAAGTATTCATTAATTGCATGAATGGCTGCTGCTTTACATCTACCTTATGCGGTCACTAGCATAAATCACCATAAATCTTACATAAAGTAAATGAACAACTTCCATTTAACGATTATTCTTTAAAAGTAACCTAACTGTTCAGTGAGAAATTTTTCCGCCAAAAATTTTAAGAGCCAGTACATAAGAACCTCATATATTTCAAGGCTGAATATGAAATATTTAATTTGTACTTGGACAGGGAACATTGCTCTAAAATTTCAGCTTTCTAGCTTTTCTGGTTCCCAAATCAGTAATTTTCCCGCAGAAACTTTCATACGCCCTGCCCTTAGTTCATGTGGTTCCCGGGATTGCTTTCCCGCCAAAATAATTGCATATTTTTTTAGAGCGCCCGTACGCGGCACCCAGAAGTCGGCGAGGGATGAAACTAAAGCGAGAGGATCGCGCGCGGTATGGGTACATACTCCCAAACTTTCAGCCTTCCAGCTTTTCTGGTTCTCAACTTGAAAGTGGGTGACGAAAAGTGCGAACACACAGACACACACACACACACACAGCTTCTTCCCAATATGCGTTTTTGCAATTTCCATATATGCAAAAACGCATAAAAAGAACCTGGAGTAAAAATTACTAATCGATGAAAAACAGCAAAATGTACGAACCACTGGCGATGGCTCTGGCTGTGATGACTCCGCATTAACGCATGCTGGAAGGCATAGTGGCATGCATACTGAAGTGCACCGTGGTTGAGGCGCTTTATGCTCGTATTGTCCCTTAACAGATACTGATGCGACCTGGCAGTTTTGCAAGCACTGGCGACTGCACTGCGATTGGCACCACGACTCTGTTTGGCCTGTTTCAAGACACCCGCGAATGCATAATCTGCAATGTTCACTGCATAATATATTTGTTACTTCCTTTTCATTAAAAGCTTCTTGGGTAAGAGCTAAGAAATTTTAGAGCAGAAGCAGCCAGTCGTTCTTTCCTGTGGCTCTGTGTTTAAATGCAAAAATTAAAAACTAAAATCCCTCCGAACTTTTTGCTCCCTGCAGAAGACGAAAGCACTTCGAAGTGGCCTGGGGAGAAGCATCTATCAACAGCAACTATCTGCTGGCAAGACTGTTGATCGCTCTCTTTCCCAGGGATTTATACAAGCAAGCTGCTAACTAGCAAGCGAAGCAACACTGGACAAAGAGATTGCAAAAGTTGTCAGCTGCATGACTGGATAATTACGACATAAATTGTAGCTCAACCAAATAACGAAGTATGATATTAGTTTTGAATACATGATTAAAATAGGCGACAAACCAGCCGTCATAACTTTCGGACGGCCAGTTTGGTGTAGGTCTTTTAAATCATTGGTAATGTACAGCAGGCAGGCCATGTGATCATGGGTTTTTGCAGTATCTCACGCTGTAGTAAAATCGTTTGGAGTCCCAGTGACTAGAATTAATGGCATACCCGTACTCGAACTTCAGGAAATTAATTGTACAACTACAGAAAATTAATTGTGGTGCTTTGCCTGGGGCCATTCCTACATACTTTCAGCTTCCTGTCTTTTTTGGTCCCCGAGTTAGCAATACTCTTGCCGAAAACTTTCACGGGGTCGTAAGTGAGAACCACGCATGCCTGGGGGCTGGATTTGAAATCTTTAAGTTGTACGTGGGCTGGGAACATCCTCTTAAAATTTCAGTTTCATAGATTTTCTCGTTCCTGAGTTAGCGATTCACCAGCCAAAACTTTCACGCGTTCGTACGTGTGGCCCAGACGTGCGGGAAAGCTGGCACCGCAGTTCTGGGGTGGCAGTTGGCCAGGAATCTACTAGCAAAATTTTGGCGCCGGAGCTTGATTGGTTGTCAAGTTGAAATACGCAAACAGATGCACACACACACGCACACGCACACACACACACACACACACACACACACACACACACATACACCGGGGTTGTCACAATATGCGTTTTTACTGCATTTGCGTACATGCAAAAACGCATAAATGAAACGCTGTTTCTAAGTTCTGCTAGAACACTTACACAAGGCATCGATCCAAGCAATTCTGGATGTTTGTTGGGGTTTGAGTTGTCGTTGAAGCGACTGTTGTTGGCCTGGTTGTCGAAATGTACTGCACGAATGCAGGAGCATTTGGCGCACACGCTTTGGCACACGCTTGATGACAGCTGCGTGCACACAGCGCTTCAGTCCAGTTTTGGGCTCGGCATGTATCTAGGCATGTTTTTTGGCACATACGCAGGCAATCACTTGATGTAGCGGGGGTCGTTACCTGGGTCTCTGCTGTTTGCTGATAGATTGCTGGCTTGCATGCTTGCGCGCATGCTGGCTTGCAAACATCCCTGCACAGTGGTTGTGGGAAGCGGTCAGTGGTGCAAGAGGAGAGACACGTAGCAGGGCAATCCTGATTACACACCACTTGATGTGCAACGAAATCTGGGATTTCACGCTGCTTCTGCTGCGTGCAGTATCGTGAGCAAGTTTGCTGGCAGTACTGTGAACAACCACTGCCTGGCCGTTGCTGAGCCTGGCACATTGTGATGCAGCTTTCCGTGCACTGCTGCATGCAGCTGTCCACGGCTACAGTGGTGGTCCCAAGGTTTGGTGTTTGTGGTTGTCCACATGCCTGTGCACACGACGGTTCGCAAATGCTCTGACAAACAGTGCCCGGCCAGTTCTGTATGCCACAATTTTCCATGCATGTTTGGCTGCACTGCTGCTTGCAGTTTGCAGCATTCACCATGGTGGTGCCTGGCACTGTTGTTTGCGGACGAGTTGGCTCATAAGCTACTGCTTTGATCGACTGCCGTGCACAGGAGCTGCTACATGCCTTCTGGCAGTCTTCTTGACACAGTGTTGTTGGCCAGTTCTGAGTTTTGCATACATTTGTGCAGTGCTGCGCACAGGACTGCATGCACGACGAAGAGACTGACGGCTGAAACGGTTGACCGCCAGTAATCTGCTCAGCCTGAAAATCACTCAAGATATCGCCTGGGTCCGGGAAAGGCAATCAAAATAAAGAAAGATGTAAGCTACTTTAAAGGAAGATGCACGAGGAATTACTCTCAGGTCACACTCGAAGCACAAGGACCGATGATGTAGTGGATGGCACGTCACGTCCAAATGTAAACGTCAATGGTTTAATACAGGCAGGTGTTTCCACATACTTCTTGAACAGACCACTTCACATGTCAAAAGGTTTGTACTACATTAGCAACTGAACTATCTTCATCATCTTCTTCCATTTAATTCTACCTCTTTAAGTCTTATATTAGTTGAAACTCTGTTTTGCTTAACCTCCTTCGCTGACATATTTCCTTTTTCTTTGACCTTTTTAAGACCATGAAATACCAGCGTGTAGGCTTCATGACGGTTCGTCTTTGTCACGCCTCCTGGACTGTTTTTCTTTTCTTTTTCCTTCCCTTTCCTTTTCTATTATGCGTTTTTTACATCTGTGTCATGCAGAAAACTTACACTGACGAGAGGTTGTCTGTGTGTGTCTGTGTGTGTGTCTTTGTGTGCGCTGTGTGTCTGAACTGATTTTTTATTTCGAGACCCACAAAAGCTATAGGGCTGAAACTTTGGAGACCTAATCTGCATGCGTGTACGTGCCCCCATCCCCAAAATGAGCATTCATACCTGCGTGGTACCCACATGTGGATCCACCAAAGTTTTTTTCAGGTAAGCTGCTAACCCAGGAACTTGAAAAGCTAGAAAACTGGAGTTTTAAGGGGATGCTTTCCTCATATGTAGGTATTAACGAGTTCAAACGCAGCCCTCGGGCATGCGTCGTACCTACATACGGACTAATGAAAATTTATTCGAGTAAGTTGTTAACTCGGGAACCTGAGAAGCTAGAGAGCTGGGATTTTAAGGGGATGTTCCACGTTCACGTAGGTCTTAATGAGTTCACGCCCAGTCCACGGTTATGCGTAGTTTCTATGTACGGACCCAAGAAAGTTTTTTGCGGGTAAGTTGCTAACATCGGAAACCAGGAAAGCTAGAAAGCTGAAATTTTAAAGGGATGTTTTCAGACAGCACTGGTATCCAGTCTCAGTTACCTCAGCTAGAAGCACTTGCAGGAAAAACCGGTTCCATTAGCGACAAAAACCTGCCGGGAACTATGCAAAAAACGCATCTTCACACCGACAGTCGGTGCGTTGGCCATTTATATTCTATTTGATCCCCTTGCGAACCATACACATTTGTAAAAAAAGGTCCGTCCATATCAAGCCCACTATACATAAATGACCGGCAGTCGTACTGAATCATTAACTGATTACGCTTTAAACAATTTAGCATCTACGAAATCCCCATTTTATCAACAAAGACACCAAAATCATCCGAACTGAGCAAATTCGGGTAGGTAAAACTAAAGACTGCTAAATTTACCCAAAAGTGCTCAGCGACGTTGCAAAAAAAAATCCACTCATCAGTTTGATTAGTATCTAACAAATAAGAACAATGGACGGGTGCAAAGAAAAAACTATTTTGTCGCGAAGAGCGAAAGGGGGGAGGGGGGAGAAAAAACATTTCATCAAATTTGGACCTACACGTTGGCCTACAAATAAAACACTTTTTTACATCCCGAACAGTAAAACGGTTGAGAAGAGCGCTTAGCAGAGGGGTCACGATCTGTTTCAAGATTACTTCGCAAGCTGGATTGAAAAGGCGTCTTGAAAATCAATGGTGAGCAGCCAAATTATGCTTGCAGATGAAAGAATCATTCTGTCATCTAGATACTGTCATTAAAATCTCAGCAGTTACAATTCGGAATTAGCTTACCTGTACTTCGGTTCTCTGAAAGTTATCACAGGCCTGCTGACAGGTAAATGCGCAAACAGGCTGACATCTGAAGCATGGAATGAGTATTTATCAAGTTAGTAATCATGCTGAATTCTCACAGTTTGAGTGATCGTGTTTCTGTGACAAGTGAATTTCAAATACAAATTGACCTGAGCTGAGCTTGAAAATCCTGAAGACACGACTGAAGACAAGACTGTTTACAAGCTGGCTGGCATGAAGCTGATAGCGTTAAAGTTAGGATACAGCTGCACGCAGCACTGCATGAACACTGTTGCTCCTGCAAGAGATCCAAAAATGTATGAAAAAGCAAAAGCGCAGTCTCTGTGTCCATGTGGCGGCCGTGATGTGCGCTAGGCATAAAATAGTTTCAAGTCGCTTCCACGGTCTGTTTTAAGATAGCATTTCGTGAGGTGGATTAGCGCAGTAGCTGAATATAAGTGATGAGCAGCTGAATCATCTGCGCTTTGGGAGTGACATAGTTCTTATTGCGAATTTGAGACAAATGAGATGCTACAGGAGCTGCTCATAGGGGAAATAAACGACCATTCCGGCGGCTTCCGAAGAGCAAACATATTGTAAACACGTGATGGAATGAAGGTTCAGAATTGAAGGAATTGGTAAAAGAACACGTAAAGAACACGTAAGTCGAGCAATATCACTAAGATTGGATCCCTGTGCCACTTCTGTGGGCGATTTTGGTAGTCTTAATAAGGCAAAGTAAAGCAAAATGAAACGGCATAAATTTCTTGGAATTTTTATCTATTATTATTAAACTATGTTGACCATAAAGCATACGACGAAGTGCATTTGTCAGCAGCAAACCCAACCCTAAAATTTACAAAAATTTTTGTGGGCGATTTTGTTTTTTATGCGTTTTTGCATATATGCAAATTGCAAAAACGCACATTGGGAAGAGACTGTATGTGTTTGTGTGTGTGTGTGTGTGTGTGTCTATGTGTTCGCACATTTTGTCACTCATTTTCAACTCGAGAACCAAAAAAGCTAGAAAGCTGAAACTTTGGAAGTATATGCCCATACCATGCGCGACTTCTCTTTTATTACTATCCCCCGGGGACACCTGCGTGCCGCGTACGGACTCTTTAAAAAAATATGCAAATTTTCTTGGCGGGAAAGCGGTCTCGGGAACCAGACAAGGTAAGGGGCTTAAACTTTGTAGGGATATTTCCTGGGCATGTGCTAGCTAAAAATTCAAATTTTCAGCTCCCAGGTATGCGCAGTACTCAAATAAGGGCTTTTGAAAGTCCTGGCTGTGAAATTACTAACTCGGGAACCAGGAAAGCTAGAAAGCTGGAATTTTGGGGGAATGTCCCCCGTCCATGCACAACTTAAATATTTCAAATTCAGCGTTCAGTTATAAGCGGTTCCCATGTACGGACACCTAAAAGTCTTGACGGGAAAATTGCTCAATGAACAACTAGGTTACTTTTAACCCAGGGTGGAACGCACCGGGCGGGCCCGTCCGATCATGCGTTTTTGCACCGGACTTGAAGTACTCAGGTCATTGACTGCATGAATGGCTTTGCTTT